TGGAACCATTCTCTAACACCAAGCTGGTGGAATAGCCACCTCAGTCTTTGCCCCTAACCCCCGAAGGCCAACGTCTCTTTCGTTGCTGAAGCGAAGAGTTAAAATCAGATTCTCTACCAGAAAGTTTTCCTAACTCTAGCCTTAGGGCAGGACCTTACTGCCAATCTTTCCCTTCTACTTTCAAGGTATCTGGGCTGCTCACTGTTCCAAGATTTCCCCCACTTATGATCCTTCATGATTGCCATAATAAAAACATAACATAAAACTTACCATGTTAACCATTAAGTGTATAGTTGAGGGACATGCACAATGTTGTACAGCCATCCCATGATCCTTCTCCAGACCTCTTTTCATCTTGCAAAACAAACTGTCCTCATTCAATGCTAACTTTCCAATCTCCCTATTCTTGACTGCAGTCCCTGGAAGCCACCATTCTATTCCCGATGACTTTAACTACTCTGGGTGCTTTGTGTACATAGTGGACTCGAAACAGGCTTGTTCCATCTTGCAAATAATACAGGAAGTTTTGTATTATAGCCAGTAAGATGGTAACCTATTGGGGATAAGGATGGGCCTCTACCTTTTCCTCCCTGAGCTATGATAGTGCGAGCTAGCCCTCCACCTGGGATTCTGCTGCTAAGGTGGATCTGATATGTCAGCAGATGCTGACCTGTCCTGACACCTGGCTGGTAGTAGAGCCCTGTGCAGGTCAGCGCTCTCCTGGCCCCGCCTCCCTCACAAGCAGCTCCCTGCCCTCTAGTGGCTGGGAAAACTCTCCCCCAATCTCCTTGATTTGCTTTTAAAATTGTTTTCACCTTTTTTCCTTAAATCTTTAGGTATACATGACAGTATATTTTGACATAGTATACATATATGGTGTATAACATCCTAATGTCATTCTTAAAATTCTTTTTAGAGGGACTGGGGATATGGCTCAAGTGGTAGTACACTCGCCTGGCATGTGTGAGGCACTAGGTTCAATCCTCAGCACCACATAAAAATGAAAAAAAAAAACTAAAAAATATTAAAAATTCTTTTTAGATATACATGCAGTATATGTTGGCATACTATTATACATACCTGGAGTATAAATTCCCATTCTTGGGGTTGTGCATGATTTGGAATTACACTGATCATGTATTCATATATGAACATAGGAAAGTCAAATCTAACTCATTTTACTGTCCTTCCTAATCCCATACCTCTCCTTTCATTCCCCTTTGTCTAATCCTATGAACTTCTATTCTTCACTCCCCCTCCCTTATGAGTTAGTTCCACATCACAGAATATTTGGCCTTTGGTTTTTGGGGATTCTTATTTCAGTTAGCATGATAGTTTCCAGTTCCATCGGTTTATTGGCAAATGACAATTTCATCTTTAAAAAATATTTTTAATTGTAGAGGGCCACATAATACTTTGTTTATTAATTTGTTATGTGGTGCTGAGAATCAAACCAGTGCCTCACACATGCTAGGCAAGCACGCTGCCACTGAGCTATAGCCCCAGCCCCCCAAATTTCATTCTTACTGGTTGAGTTATTCCACTGGGTACAGATATCACATTTATCCATTGACCTACTGCAGGGCAACTAGGTTGGTTCCATAGCTTGGTTATTGTGAATTAAGCTGCTATAAATAAAGGTTGGTGAGGATATGGTGGGAGAGATACTCCTACATTGCTGATGGGATTGCACATGGTTCAACTACTGGAAAGCAGTATGGAAAAAACTTGGAACGGAAACCACCATTTGACTCAGTTATCCCGTTCCTCGGTGAATACCCAAAGGACTTAAAATGGGCACACCACAGTGATGCAGTCACCTGAGTTTGTGATCTTGATGGTCCCTCTGAGTGCAAAACCCTGACTGCTCGTGAGTTCTGAGAGGAAGCAAGAAGCAGATGAGCTTTACAAAGAGGAATGTCCTCCACTTGTGCCTTGGTGTAGCCAAGCCTGCTTTGCTTGACATTTGTGGGATTGGACAGGAATGTAAGTCTTCATCTCTTTGATACTTACAGACATTTTGATTAAAAATAGTTTGAAAAATTAAAAACAAAAATAGGTATTTGCAGCTGTACTGAGTCTCCACCCAGCTTCCAGTGCAAGGGCCAGCACCTCTGCTCCGGGCATGCTGCCCCTGTGCTCTTGTAGAACACGAGAGTGACAGGTCTTTGTGGCATTGCTCCTCTCCCAGGTTTCAGTGGTCAGATACTCGGCAAGCATCTCTGACGCCACAATGAGCAGTGAAGTGGCAGTGTTCGATTCAGATCCCTTCAACAACAAAACACTTTGTTCTTAAGCCCCCCACCCCACTTCCCTCTGGACATACACCCAGAAATCTGTGGCTTGGAATGCTGAGCTGGCAGCTCCTCCCTCTTTTCTGCTGCTCTGGGCATTTTTGCTCCTGATCAATTCTACTGTAACCAATATCACTTGTATATCTGAATGTGTTTGCCCCATTGCATACTCTTTTATATCTGCGTGCTTGCAGGGAGTCTTTGAGAGGGGAGTCATTCTGGGGAAGCTGCCGTTCCTGCCTCAGGATGTAGAGATGTGGGCGGAGGTGTCCTTCAGACTCACAGTTCCACCTGCAGCTGTTGCTGCAGCTTGAGGTAGGGCTACAGGAAGGTGCAAAGCATCCCTCTGGATGTCTTTAGAATGGCTCAGGGAGGGTGGTCCAGCAGAGTCCCAATGATGCCACCAACCAAGCAGATGAAGAAAGTGACTAACGATTGGGATCCTAAACGTTCCATAAAGGCCTGTGTGCTAAAGGCTTTATCACCAGCCATGGTACTGTTGGGAGAAACACTGATGTAGGTGCCCTAGTGGGAGGAAGTTGAGTCTTCGTGGTGTGCCCTTGAACCAAGTCCTGGGATCTGGACGGCTCCTCTGATTTCTGGCTCTGTGAAGTGAGGAGCTTGCTCCACCAGGCTCTTCTGCCATGAAGAACATTACCCTGAGTCCAAAAGCAATGGAGTCGAGCAGCTGTGGACTGAAAAAGTCACAATAAGTCTTTGTTCCTCACAAGTTGACTATCTGAGGTATTTAATAACAGTAATGGAAGTCACAGTAGCACAGCTACCAACTCCAAATTTGTAATAAACTAAAAATCAACCTTCAAAGCTCCATTTTTTTTTTTTTTTCCTCCCTCCCCACCTTCTGGAAATTTTTTCTGCATCTTCATGATAGTTTACTAGTTTCCTGTATAGAGAAAGCTTAAATGGAATTTTCCACAGAAAAGGCCCTCAATTAACATTAAAGGGAAAAAATGAACAGGACACAGTAAAGAGAAGAAAACCAGATATTATGGGGACATTATTCCAGACTGTTGTCTTTCGTTTTATGAAAATGATTTATTTTAACTTGGCATAACACTCTGGGTAACTAGCTGACCAACTGGGTCGGTCGCATTTTGCCTTCGTTCTTTATAGCTCTACTATAAAGATCAGATCACTTAGAAGATGAATTTGTTAGGACAAGGGTCCGAGTACCTGCTGCCCTGCAGATAGGTGGGATGAGTCTACATTCACATGACATCTTCCTGTTGCCCCACACATCCTGTGAGTGTCTCATTTTTAAATATGATTATCTGGTCATAGTAATGCTGAATTATTTTATTTGCATCTCTTTGGTTACTGGCGACAGTGAGCAGCTTTTCATATGTCATTTACTTTGTGATTTTGTTTTCTGTGCCCAACTTCAGTTAGTGCACTTGCTTTTTAAAAAACTGGGTAATAGTATGAATTCTGCTGTGTTCATTCCCTTCTCCAGTTGGACTTTGCAGATGGTGTTTTATGATAAATTTTAAAGTCCTATGTTGTAGTTGAATTTATGAATATTTTCCTACATCTTTCTGGCTTTCGCATCATCCTTCAAAAGTCCTTCTTGCCAAAACCTAAATATTTGCTCACTTTTCTCGTTAGGCTTTAATTTGTTCCATTTTTATTTTGGTCTGAGCCAGAGTGGAACTTTTCTCTTAAATAAAGGGCTAGATAGTTTACCCCAGCACATTCACTCCTTTTACTCATTGATTTGCAATCTTAACATGTTCAGATTTTCCATAAATAGCTTGCAGTTACTTCTAGATCGGTCATTTCATTCATCTACTTACTTAGCACCTATCACCATAGGACTTTAATTGGTGACTTCATAATGTACCTTGAGTTGGTAGTATGAGGGCCTCTAAAGTGGGCCGTAAGGAGTGCTGATATTTATATTCTCTTAAAATTGGCTATTATCCTAGCAAATTAAGTCTGTTCATAGAATTTATCTAAAACATTTATATAGAGTAGTGATTCTTAACAATAGTATCCACAGGCTATCTATATCAAAAGTACTGGGGATGTTAAATTTTAGATCTCTGGGCCCTACTTGAGCATTCACAAAATGTTAAGTTGGGCTCAGGAAATTGTTTTCACGAGCTCCCCAGATGATTCTCAAGAACACCAAGAGACATCTAACACGTAAAATGTGAGCAGCAGCTAGGTCTTGATGTTTAAATGTTTAAAAATGGGACTACCATCTTTTAAAAATTACATCTACATATGTAAATACAGAACTATAATTTTTTTCTCAAACATTGAGCATGTATGTAGTTCCAATACTGCACCAAACAAGAATACAAGGCTAACTTGTTACACTTCAGACTTGACTTAAGATACATGATCCTGCTCCCTGGTTGCACATATATATCCCAAGTTGTTACTGTACTTTAGATCAGAGCAAAATGGTTGCCCTAGAGGTGCCCCAAGTTAGATTGTGGAGTAACCTATGTGCACATGGTGCAACTTGAGGCCCTTAACAGAGCTGCAAAATAATCCAAATACAAAGAGTATGGGTTGAGAGACAGTTAAGGGATGTCACAATAAATGTGATCAATCAAGGAAGGTCTTCTAGGTGGGGGAATGAGTGCCCTGTGACAATTAGAATTAAAGACACTGGCAGTGTTTGATTCTTTAAGATGCAATAGTATGCTCTTAAATCTGGTTAAGCTCCCCAAATTTCTTGTGCCTAGTCTTCTGTGCTATAAACACAAGCTAAATGCTTCAAAATTCAAGGTATCCTGAAAGTAAATCAACAAATTTTCTACCAGGGCTGGTTGCTCATGGAATTACAGGTATTTTGTTCAGTTTGTCTTTTGTGTTCTTTTATGTATTTTTTTGTTGTATTGGTAATTGAAACCAGTGGTTAATGCATGCTAGGTCAGCACTATACCACGGAGCCTTTTAAAAGTATTTGAAATGGGGTCTCACTAAGTTGCCCAAGCTGACCTCAAACTTGAGGTTCCCCCCATGTCGGCCTCCTGAGTAGCCGGGATTATAGGCACAGGACAAGCTTACCTTTAAAATACTTATTACCTATGCTCCCCTGAAGAACAGTGATCCAAGTCAAGACAGGACTTGGAATACAGCTAAATGCTTTATAACTGTCTTTCTGTGCCTACTGCTTGTTTCTTTAGATTCGGGAATATCCAGTTGACGCCCAGAACAACCAGCTACCCTTCTTACGGAATCCGGATATCTTGGTGGGAGAAAACGACCTCACTGCCCTCAGCTATCTCCATGAGCCTGCAGTTTTGCATAATCTGAAGGTCCGCTTCCTGGAGTCCAACCACATTTACACTTACTGTGGTAAGTGGGGCATCTATTGGCTGTGCATATTTGGGAGTGCCTATAATCATTAGATTTAACTATGCTCAAGTGGTTAAGAACCCCGATTTTTTACATGCATCTTTCACCTTGGCCTTTGGAAAGGTTTGTAATCAGTGCATGTGGCTAAATTTGGCTGCCCTAGCCTCTGTGGGATGACTGATGCTGGTCACAGCTCAACTAAAGAAATGACCTATAACTTGCGGGATGGGTGGTTTGTTTTTTGGTCTCGGGGTCTGAATCCAGGGGCTGTAAACCCCTGAGCCACATCCCCATCCTTTTTATTTTATTTAGAGACAGGGTCTTACTGAGTTGCTTAGGGCCTTGCTAAGTTGATGAGGCTGGCTTTGAACTCATGATCCTCCTGCATCAGTCTCCTGAGTTCCTAGGATTACAGGCTTGGGCCACAGCATCCAGTGGGGTGGCCAGTTTAGAGGACGTAAGTCTGCTCTGGTGTGCTGGCTCATGCACATTCCCTCGCCACCCAGCACACGGCTAGAGGTGTGTGCCTGACTTGTGCTTTCCAGTCAAAAGTTCTGCCTTTCTCACTTTGTCACTTGCCTGTGTATCAATGCGATGCTTGATGAATATTGAGCAAGCATCCATAACAGATGCATGAAAGAATCCTGAAATAGTCATGTTTTTCTTGAAATTTCTCCTTTTTCCTGTATTTCAAAGGTTTGTTTTTCCCCCTTCTCCTTTGAATATTGGTAGATGATATGGCAAAAATAAGACCGTTAATTGAGAAGCAGATAACTTGAAGGTCAGGCTGGGGAGTGGGCCAGGGTGCCTCCGCGGGAGTCGTCCTGGTTGTGCAGGGAAACCCTAGTCACGTTTGGGATCACAGTGATATATCAGCTGTCAGGTTTTTTAAAAAAATAATTTTGTTTAGCTATAGATACATAATATCTTTACATTTTTTTTAATGTGGTACTGAGGATTGAACCCAGTGCCTCACTCATGCTAGGTGAGTGCTCTACCTCTGAGCCATAACCCCAGCCCAGGGTCTCTTTACTTTCCTGTTCTACTTGGGTTTGGAAGTGGTGGGTCAGTGAGGTGGTCAGGGGAGCTGTTCTGCCAGATTGTAGTGCTTGGGAGGTGTGGTTTCTCAAAAGCTCCTTCCTCCTGCCTGTTGGTGGGAGTTTGAAAGATGTGACCAATCATCAGAACTTTCAGTAAGCCCTCCCATAAGATGATTGAGGAAGCTCTTTTAGGAAACACGGCTCAGTGGCCATCTGCTTCCAATTTAAGGACTCCATCCGAGTCTCCCGAGTGTCCACATTTATCCAAACATGCTTCGGCTCCTCCAGGTTCTGCTCTGTGTTAGGGGACTGATCAGAGTGTTCCCTCTTAACTTTTAGAACATCCCGGGTGAGTGCAGTCAGCATTCCCAATTCATAGTTGAAGCAACCCAGGCATTGAAAGGCTGAACAACTGCTCAAATCACACCGTAATTGATCCAGTAGTAGACCTGAAGATATGTAAACATACTTCCTATCCATAAGTTGTTTGTATTTTAGTTAAGATAATCCATACACAAATGAGAAATCCATTCCTTGTCGGCTTTTAATTCTTGCATGGGGTTTTAAATCTCTCTAATACCTATTGGCAGATTTAAACATCTTCCATCTAATCCTACAACCCTGCACATGTCTATCTTTTGAAATCAGTTTGTGGAGCATTTGTTATCATGTGGGTATTGCCATACCCTAAGGCTGCAGGATAGCTGGACCCTAAGCTTATCTGCATTGTCTTCACCAGGGTCTGGCACAAAAGCACACAATTGTCTTAAGTGGAGTTGTTGTGACTGATGCTGTTGCGCCCTCATGCTTCAGGTTCTATGTCTGAACAGGTGCTTTAGTCTGATTCCCTGAGACAGCTGAGCTGCCAGACTCTGACCCCCTGTCTCTTTGCAGGCATTGTGCTTGTTGCCATCAACCCTTACGAACAGTTGCCAATCTATGGGCAAGATGTCATCTACGCCTACAGTGGTCAGAACATGGGTGACATGGATCCCCACATCTTTGCAGTGGCAGAAGAAGCCTACAAGCAGATGGCCAGGTGAGGATAACTCAGCACAGACATTCTCCCTGGGAGTTGGGACAGGAAGGGGAGTTGCTGTTTCTTTACTGCTGAGGCTCACAGTGGAGTGGTGAGACTGGGATTGAAGAAACATTGGGAAAAGTCTACATTCTGTTTCCTACTTCATTCTCTCACTTCATTATCTTACTCTTACGAACTGAGAGCAGAGGCTCCTTAGCTTACTTGATTCTTTTGAAAAAGAGAATACAGTCCTTACATTTCACCTTGACTTTCTGGTGCTCTTTCCTCCCCTGCTGTAGTGGAATCGTTCTAGAGCACCTCTGTGAGCTCTATGTCCAGCCTGCTCTACACCTTCTTACTGCAGGATCCTTTGTGAGGGAGGACGACTCCTTGACAACTTGAGGGTGGAGGTAAAAACTTAGCCAGCAGCCTGGAAGCAGAATTCTGATTGAAGCCCTTGAGTAATTTCTCAGTGTTTCTCTAGCCATGAAAGATGGGTGCAGGTCTGTTTCATTAGAAAATGGGCTTGGTGATGGTCTCAAGTTGTTGTTGCATCATATCAGGAAAGATCTTTTATTTGGGGGGGAATTCATATCCCAGTTAATACTAAAATGTTGAATTCTTTGATAGTTCTTGCCACCTCTAGAGAGTGTTTTTAATGGACCTTGCAACATTCATACCAAAGTCCTTTGGCAGTTGGACCATTTATATTAACAAGGAGAATGAGTGATCTCTGTGTAGGGGAGGGTTCTGTTTAAGGTGGTGTGGTTTCATTATAATTTTTAGTCCAATAAAACTATGAAGGAAGACTTTTGTAGGCTACTGACCTACGATGTTTCATTCCAAGTATTCAGATGAGCATATGAAAGGTCTGCTTCATTAAAGACACAGGAACTATATTCAAAATAAGCAATGACTTGAAGGAATGGAAAGTAGAATGACTTACAACTTATCTTCAAAAGTTCCACTAAGCTGATTGCAACCTTTGACCTTTCTAATGCCACATGCTGTATTAATCTGATATCAGGGCTTGACTAGGAATCTTAGTGGGGCCAGCTTGTTGACTTACACCTCCTGATAGTGTGGTCCCAGATCAGATCTTGTGGTGAGATCACTTAGTGTGTTATACAGCAGACGGCCCTGCTTGGGTGTCACTCTTGAAGATCATGTGCATGGCAAGTGGGGGATAGGGCTGGGGACTGGGCAGGCTTCTGTGTTGTGGGAGAATTACTTAAGCCAAGTCCCCATTTGCTTCATATGGAGATAATGCTTCATTTACTGTCAAGGGATGGGTTTTTTTTTTTAATGGTTCTAAATCAAGGTGGCTACGGCTTGGTTCTTAAGACTTCATGCTGTGCTTTAAGTTAGGATATAGCTCTCTCAACCTTGTTCATTCATGGATGCCATTGACACTGGGGGTGGGGGTTCAGCTCATTCTCTTCTCTTAGCCCATTATACTTACATATGGCAGAAGTTGCTGCCCTTCACACAAGGGCTGCTGTAGCTTGCAAGTCTTCTAGCCTCCAGCCTACCTATGTGCTGGGGTCCACTTGGCTCTGCCTGTGTTCCTCCCTCCCATGCATGAAGCTGGGCCTGTGGTTCTTGTAAACTGGGATTATTTCACTTGTTGGAGGCCTTGTTCACACCCACTGAAGAGAAGGGGACATGGGGGAGTCAAGGGTGGTGGTGGTGATACCGTCTTGCCTCGGGTAATGAACTTGGTAAGTAAGGGGTTTGGATGGTAAAGCTGGACCAGGACTCCTTTAAGGTTTTAAGGCTTATACTCATTTTATTCTTGGGGTCTCAGTTTGAATCGAGTAATCTTGAAGTTTTGGTGCGATATTTTCTCACGAATATGTGTTAGAAATATAAGGTCCAGTGCTCGTGGCCACAGATGAGAGCTGGTTTTGAGCTCTGTTACCAGCAGCTTGGGGTTTCTCATTGACCTAACAGATGGATTAGAAATCCCCCAAATATCATGTGAGCAGATGAGGGACACCTAATGGTCAGCTACAGGCAAGGTTTTCGCTGTGTTCCCGTCGTGGTCCTCCTCTCTGGAACATGAGAACGCATCCTTTCCACAGTGCTGGCCGACTGCACTGTGCTCTTCCTGACTCGTCGGAACTGTCAGAGTAACTGTAATGGTCAGGAGGCCAAAGCCTAGCACAGTGCTTTGGAGGAGCCTCCCTAAAATCTGGGTAAAGTAGAAGGTCTGGGAGGCTAAAGTTCTGAATGACAGTCTTGGGGGACTTGCACTCCATGATTCTTTCTCTTGATTGGTTAGGGACTGGATTTTTCATGATGGATCACACATGAATCCTTCAACTCTAGATACCTGGAAATGGGGGAACACTGTCAGAGTATGAGGGGTTTAATACAGACTTTTAACTCCTCCTCAGAGTTCTAGAAACATGTAGCTAGTGCTGGTAGAAAGGAAGAGCAGAGACCAGCAAGAGAAGAGGATTGGTTCCCTGTCCCCATCATACTCACCAAGTCTAGACTTGAGTAAATGCAGATTCACAGTAAAGAAAAAACTTATAATAGTATGAAACAACATACTTAGGAATTTTATCCCCTGCACAGAACCTACAGTTCCTAGGGGAGGGGAATTGACCTCCACAGCTTAGCTTTGGACCTTGTATTCTTTCCTTCATTTTTACCTGCCTCAACTCCAGCCTCACCCTCTATTAGTGAGATGGCACTAATTTATGAAGTATTACTTGGTAGACTCCATACTGGCCAGTAAGAAAGTAAGATCTCCCTACTTCAAGCAGGAGCTCAATTGTTAGAGAAGATATAGGTAGGCCCAAAAGGCCGTACCTGTAGTAGGTATAAATAGAAATGGGTGCCATAGAATCATGTGAAATGATTTTGGAGATGGTGTTACAGATGGTCCAAGGAAACTTTATAAGAGTTTAGGTCCTAATGAATGGTAGCTGCTTAGAATGAGAAGGTATCTAGGTAGTGGAATAGTGAGGCCATAACTGAGAAGTGGGTCATTAAAAGGCATGGTCAGAAAACTACAGTGAGATGCTACTCCCCATCTTCTATACTCAAAAAGACACAAGAGTTGGTGAGGATGTGGAGAAATTCAGTCTTCCTGTACTGCTAGTAGAAATGTGAATCGATTCAGTCACCTTGTAAGAGTCTGGGAGTATCTCTAAAGGATTTCAATAGTTCCCAGTGATTCTACCCAAAGAAATGGGAACAATACATTCTCGTCAAATTACAGATGTTCATGTTACAACCTAAATGTCTATCTCTGGATGAATGGATAAACAAAATGGGGATTATTCACACAATGGTATGTTAACATATTGTTGAAAACATGGAAAGTGAAATAAGCCAGATACAGAAGACCACATATTGTATGACTTGGTTGACAGGAAATGTCAGGAATAGGCAAATCTTGGGGAGACAGTTACTAGTGTTTTCCTAGGACTCTAGGTTTTAGGGGAAATGGGTTGAGGGATGAGATGAAAATGTGCTGAAAATGGTTGTGACACACAACTCTTTAAATGTATTAAAAATCTGAATTGCTCACCTTGAACAAATGTTGAATAACATCAATAAAGCTATCATAAACAGGTATGGTTGGCATGATCCCCAGGCAGGTTTAACCTATACAGTGGGTACATCTGTAGAGAGTTGTGGGCAAGGTTGAAGACAAGGTGAGGCCAGATTGTGGAGACTTTTGGTTCCTGGGGTGAACTTGGAATGAAATATTTTATTTACAGCTACACAGGTGGCCAGATGACTTTGGGAAACACTGGATTAATTAAGTGGCCCATCTTTCTTTAAGCAGAGATTTACAGAGTTGGTTGACATGCATTCTGAGTCTAAGATGGGAACACATTACTCTGAGTTTGCAAATTGGGCACAAAGCTGTTTGCAAAGATTATCTCAAGGGGCTAATGTTCTGTGTAATACTGTTTGGGAAATTCTAGCTTAGAGCAATGGAGAAATCATAGAGTTGCTTGGATAGGGACATAATGATACAAGGGATGTTCCAAGAATTTTTCTGATGGGTCCTATTTCATAATGCTTTCCTTTATTTCCAAGGATAAGAGTTCTGTCTCATGAGAAGCTTAGTTTGTTGTGGAACATAACTTGTCAAAGAACAACTTATATGGAATGAGAAACAAAAAATTGAAAAATAGACTATGTGGCACTACATTTGTTATGTACACTTCACTCTAAGGAAGACAAAAGTAGCAGTTGGAACATTAATGTATCTAATTCTCACATTTGCCACGTGAAACTGGTTACCTCATGATATTGATAGATACTTGGACATTGAACAATTCTTGAAGATTATGAAGTTAGGGAATGTGTAGGGATGGAATCCAGACCCAATCTCTTTGCCCAAAGCCCTCTGAATTAGCCAGAAAGCCATGCTACTCTTCAGCTACTCTTCAATTGTCTGTTTGTTGGCCTGGACAGTTTTGTCAGATCAGTGATTCTTGTCCCCAGGACACCATTGAGGGCCATCGGTGGAACTTTTCCCTTCTAGTTCACCCATCTGATTCTGCATGGGGGTAGTTTTGGTGCATTGACCAGCTTCATTGGTGGGAGTGGACCATCTTATGGGCTTGACTGGGTCTGATATCCTTTTTTGAGCTGTTTGTGTTTTGTGTTGCTCTTCTGAACAAGAATGGGATGGGAACACTGCAGAGCAAATCTTTCTGCTCAGGTGGCCAAGGTAATTGAGCACCCACATTCCCCATCTGTCTGCTGTGTTGCCAAGGTGTGACTAATAATGAATGATGGGATTGCTGTTGCCTGGAATCTTGGGGGGTGGGAGACTGAAGCTAGATACACTTGTGTCATGAGGCTGGAATGGTGACTGAAACAGGCTTGCCTGAGTGGGAGCCATTATACAGGTGGGGTTTTTGAAGCCCATGAGAGTGAAAGCCTGTGCCCAGTGGGAATAGCAGTTCCAGTTAGAAACCCTGATGGGGCTGTTGAGAGAATCTTCTCAGTTTAGGTTCCTACAAATGCAAAGAGTAGAGTATTTG